TTTTCCACGGCCGCTTGCCCTCCCTCTGACACAGTTTGTTGAGAACCAGCTCCCCTTGTCCCACTTCCTGGCTAATGGCTCCTTTAGGGCGGGATGATGGCTTTCTCCCTGCTCTGGATCTCCTCTGAGCATAGATTCCACGAGAATTGTGGGGACACTTTGTAGGAACAAGATGAGTAGAGGCGAGGTCAGCATTGCAGGGGTACAGCCACAGGAGTGGGGCATGGGGAGGAGGGAGTGACCCCAGCACACGTCTACAGGCAGGGCCCTCAGGCTGGAGGCTGTGCAGGGAGCCAGAGGAGGTGCCTGTCTGTCCATGTTCTCAGTGAGACCTCAGTGCTGAGGTCTTGGGCTGTCTGGGCAGGGAGTCAAGGGGAGGCCTTTCCCATGTGCTCAGTCACACCCTTCCCCATACCAACCAAACCAGTTGCCCAAGTGGAGAGTGGAAGAGGCAGGGATCTCTCCACCAGCTGCACTGGCCCTTCTCCTCCTACAGACAGAGCCACGAACCCCCTGAACAAGGAGCTGAACTGGGCCAGCATCAACGGCTTCTGCGAGCAGCTCAACGAGGACTTCGAGGGGTAGGTGCCTCCCTGTCTTTCGCTCACGTACTCAGACTCCACGGTGCACCTGCCACGCACTCCAGACCTTGGCCCCGGCAGAAAGACCTGGCTGCCCTGAGACCCAGTTTCCATCAGTGCGGTCACAGGTTAATGATGGTAGTGGGCTCTGTGCTGAGTGCCGCTCGTGTGTCAGCTCAGGAGGCTTTGCTGAGCCCATGTTACAAGAAAAGAAACCGAGGCTTAGGGGACTCAGCATTTTGCCCCAGGCGCTCACAGAGAGAAAATGGCAGTCCTGCATTGGATCAGACCCAGACCTGCTGACCCCAAACAGTGCATTGCTGGGGAGGACCTTCCAGAGGAAACCCCATGCACCTCAGCTGGGAGGAGGCCAGGAAGAACCAGAGCCACCTGCGATAGACTCACCCAGAGTGCTTGTCCGAATGTGCATCCGGGGCTGTACCAGACTTCACGCTCCTCTGGGGACACGGAGTGGCCATGCCTAGCAGGCTTCCCTGGGGATGCTGAGGCCGGGGCCCACGGCTCTGCGTGTTTCGCCTACATGCCACCCCATCCCCGAGGGTGCCCTGCATAGCAGCATGCCATGTGTGCTCTGGAGTCAGGGTGCGCAGAATGCTCAGCCGAGTAACCTTGGCAGGTGACCGATGGCCTCTGAGCTGCGGCTTCTTCAGCTGCAAGTGCGATGGTGGTGCTGTCTCCCTCAGAGGCCACGAAGGTTCCCTGCCTGCCTTAGCAGGTCAGACAGAGCACATGGGAGGAGCACGTTAGCTGTCCCTAGTGCCAGGTCTTTATGATCTGCTAGGCAATGGTACCCCTCCGCCAGGCAGTGTTGCTGATTGCCCCTAGCACCTCGAGTTGCCACCTTGAGTTCCCCGGGGACTGCGCCCCACTGTTGCGTGTGGTTGTGGTCTGCTCTCAGACGGGCTCTCTCATGCCTGTGGTGATCTCTATACTTGTCTCTGTGGTGGCTGAGGGGTGTCAGCATTCCTAGTGAAGCCAGCCAAGGGGCTGAGCCATCCCTTCAAAGGACCCCCCTGCACTCCCTGCATGGCCCTGGTCTGCCACAGTCCAGGACCCATCAGATCCTGAGGGAGCTGGGCCTTTGCATGTGCCCACAGAAGCCACAGGGCCAACGTCCAGGCAGGCCAGTACTGTGGCCCTCCCCTGGAATGACCGGCTCTGTGGCAGTTCTGGCTGTTTTTCCTCCTATCCAGGCCTCCACTTGCCACCCGGCTGCTGGCCCACAAGATCCAGTCCCCGCAGGAGTGGGAGGCGATCCAGGCCCTGACGGTGAGGAGAAGGGGAGAGTGTGCTACCTGTCCCCACCCATGCCGTGTACCAGGGAGGCCAAGACTGAGGTTCTTGGAGTTCCATAAGGCTCTTCTTTAGAGCCTGGGGGAGTTGGGCCGAGAGGGCCCCAGATGGAGTCTGGGCCAGCCCCCAAGGGCTCCACAGCAGCCAGCAGGCCGGCCTCCTGCCCCGACTCCACACCAGATGCCCCTCCAGGAGGCGCATTAAACACCCAAATAAGGGCACCACCCAGACCTGCCTTATCAGCTCGAGGCATCCGCCAAGGAATCTGTGTCTGTAAAGCTCCCAGGTGTGTTACAGGGGCCCGCCCCGCCCACTGGTGGTCTCCAGACCCAGTACAGCACTGGCTATGCCACGAGGACTCATAGCAGCAGAGGAGGGTGCCCTACCTGCGCCCCTGTGTGCCAGATGAGCAGAGCTGGTTTTAGGAGATGGTGGAGGGTGCCCTACCTGCGCCCCTGTGTGCCAGATCAGCAGAGCTGGTTTTAGGTGATGGTGGACAGTTTTTCTTTTAATAATGATGTTTTTTAAGTTTTTGCTATAGGGCATCTACTCTCACCCAGAGAGACAGAGACAGTGAGAGGGAAAGCGAGAAATCACCCCCCAGGGGGATAGCCATGCTGCAGTCCCTGTTCCATTCTCCTCTTGGAATTTTATTTTTTAACAATGATTTAATTTTTTTTTTTTTTTTGGAGAGGTTTTTGCTATAGAGCGTGTGCGCTCGCCAGACAGAGACATAGAGACAGAAAGCGAGAAATCACCCCCCAGAGGGGATGGTCACGCCGCAGTCCCTTCTCTGTTCTCCTCTCGGGATCTTGGGCATGCACGCACATGCGCCCAGCGTGAGTTTTAAGCCACCGGGTCTGGGACACGACCGCGGTCAACTACGTGGAAGTCCAGCGACATAGCCGTTGTGCTTACTGCTGGTTCCTGATTTAATTTTTTTTTTTTAATTAAGCAAAATTTTATTTCCAGGCTCTTTAAAAATTATTACAAACACATGGGATCAGCAGTTAGCGTAATGGCTATGTCGCTGAACTCCCGTGTAGTCGACTGCGGTTCGAGTCCCGGACCCAGTGGCTTAAATTCACGCCAGGCTCATGTGCGTGCGTGCCCAAGATCCCAAGAGGAGAATGGAGGAGAAGGGATTGCGGCGTGGCCATCTCCCCTGGAGGGGGTGATTTCTCGCTTTCTGTCTCTCTGTTTCTCTCTGTCTTTCTGGTGAGTGCATGCGCCCTATAGCAAAAACCTCAAAAAAAAAAAAATTATTACAAACACAAAGTATCTTAAAAATGTCCCAAATTAACTCAAGGGCACATCCTCAAAATAAAACACTGTGACATGAAAAGTTCTTTTAAGTTCTAATATTTTCATATTACTTTGTTTTGAACCATTTGCAATGCTTGGTAGGTCACATTTGGAACATTTTAAAGATGCTAAATAATATGATATTTCTTTTTAAAGTACAAGAACAACTACAAAGTAAAGGAACTTAAGATGACAATAATCAAATCTGTTTCATAAACAGGGTGGGGCAACTCAAAACATAAAAATTATCTTTCTAAACAAATTTGCTAAGTAACAGCTCTCATCTTTAGTGTTAAAAATAAAACAATCTTGGAACCACCAGTTGGCGTATTGGCTGTGTCGCTGGATTCCCATGTAGTCGACCGCAGTTCAAGTCCCGGAGCCAGTGGCTTAAACTCACACTGGGCACGTGTGCGTGCATGCCCAAGATTGCAAGAGGAGAAAAGAGGAGAAGGGATTGCGGCATGGCCATCCCCCCTGGGGGGTGATTTCTCACTTTCTGTCTCTTCGTGTCTCTCTGTCTCTCTGGCAAGTGCATGTGCCCTATAGCAAAAAACTCTCCAAAAAATAAATTTAAAAACATAAAATAAAATAATCTTTAATTAATTCTTTAAAATAAAAAAAAGGCAGGGGGACCAGCAGGTGGCATAGTGATTAAGGCGCTGGACACTCCCACATGGCCAATCATGGTTCAAATCCAGACCTGGTGCCTTGCTTTCTCACTTTCTCTCTCTCTCTCTTTCTATGTGTGTGTGTGTCTCTCTCTGGTCAAACTAAAATAAATGAATGAATAAATAAAATTAAATAATTATTTTTTAAAAAATCTTCTCATTTAAAAAAAAAAACAATAGACAGCATTTGATTAGTAAAGCCTATTCTTCCCCCCAGTTTTAATTTTCCTGTCTTTACTTAGAAAGTATAAATTCGTAAGAATAGAACAAATTTTGTTATGCTATGAACGTCTATGTCTGGAACAAGAAATTACAAATACTCCATTTGTTTTAATAAGCAAAAATGTCTTCCTTCCCAAAATGTAAACATCCGGTAAATAAAACACACATGGTATTCCAGGTATAGAAACGCGCCAGCAATTTACTTATGAAAGAGGTGCATCCTGGCATATTTGGTAGTAAAGTATTTGTCCTAAATACAAAGCACTTTGCCAAAAGAACCAGGACATTATGGATTAAAACTCTCCTCTTTCACCTAGTTTCCTTATTTGAGTAAAAACTCTTCAATTTCTATAAAATTTTGGCTAGAGGGACAGGCCACAGGAAAGGTCTGCAATATCTGAAAATCATTTGGCTAGAGAAAAGTGTTTTCTTGAGACGTGGAGGCAGTCGTTCATCTGTGCTTGAAGGCATTCCTCAGCAAACGTCTCTAAAGCTAGAACAGCACAGGGTCTGGGCTCCAGGAGGGGGTCGCTTCCAGCCGACACACCGAGCAGCAGCGCATTCTTGCAGGCATTCTGCATGCAGTACTGCTGAAGCTCTGCGGCGGCCTGAGAGACCTTGGTCCTCTCCACACCCGCCTCCTGCTTGAGCTGCTCTACCAGGCGCTGCAGGCGCTCACGGTGGCCCCGGAAGACATGGCGGCAGTGGCAGCGCTGGGCTCCGAGGGCTCCCTCAAGAATAATTTAATTTTATTCATTCATTCACTTATTTTTTAAATTTGACTAGAGAGAGACAGGGAAAGACAGAAAGTGAGAAAGGAAGCCACCAGGTCCAGGATTTGAACCATAGTCAGCCATGTGGGAGTGTCCAGCGCCTGCCAGTTCCTCCTCTTGGAATTTTAGGCACACACGCACACATGTTCTGCATGACTTTCAAGCCACCGGATCCAGGACTCGAACCACAGTCAGCCATGTGGGAGTCCAGTACCATAACCACTATGCCATTTGCTGGCCCATGGTGTGTTTGTTTTAACACGCTTATTTTGGGTTTTTCATTTGTGTTTTGTGTTGCTGTTCTCGAACACAGACCAGTCCTATGACATCTCAGATTATAGCTTAGGATGAGGTCAAGGGAGAGCTGGCCCCGTGGCCTACTGGTTAAGGTTGCCGAATTCCCCACAGCCAATTGCAGTTCAGATCCCAGCACTATCAATTTGAAAAACATAACCAGGCAAGTGTGGGTGTGTGCCCCAAATCCTGACAGGACAGAGAAGTGAAGGGCCTGTGGTGTAACCAGTGTAACCACACTGAGAGGTGTTTCCCCACCCTTCTTCCATCTCTATTTCAAGTGAGTGTGTTTACTCTCTGGCCCCCCAAAAAAGTGCCTATTTAAGTTTGAAAAAAAGGAGGGGAATCTAGCTCCATGGACTTGTGGTTATGAAGGCAACTGAATCCCACATGGCTGACCCTGCTATTTGAGCCCTGAACCAGGCAGCTTGAGAAATATGTTGGGTGTGCGTGTACCTGCCTAAAATTCTTTTTTTTTTTTCCGAGAGGTTTTTGCTATAGGGCGCGTGAGCTCACCAGAGAGAGGAAGACAGAAAGCAAGAAATCACCCCCCGGGGGATGGACATGCCGCAGTCCTTTCTCCTCCATTCTCCTCTTGGAATCTTGGGCATTCATGCACACGTGCCTGGCGTGAGTTTAAGCCACCCGGTCCGGGACTCAAACCACGGTCAGCTACATGGGAGTCCAGCGACATAGTCATTAACGCTAACTGCTGGTCCCTCTTCCTAAAATTCTGAAAAGGAGGAAGAGGTAGGGAGTAGGGATTGTGGCATGACCATGACCCATGGGGGATGCTTCTGCCCACCGTGCCCCTCTGGTGAGTACACAAGCCCTCTGGCAGAAGAAGTGGCGAGAAATACGAACAGCTAGTGCTGAGCCAGGTCTGAGCGGGGGAGCAGTGCCGCAGGTCGGGCACCCCAGGGGGCTGCGGCCCAGTCTCGGCGGCCTCAGACTCTCCGGTCCTAGTCGTTCCCTCCCGTGTGAGTGCCCATCTGTGGGCTGCCCCGTGCCTCCTGGGGCCCCCTCACGCCCCACGCCTCACCCCACCCGCCCAGGTGCTGGAAACATGCATGAAGAGCTGCGGCAAGAGGTTCCACGACGAGGTGGGCAAGTTCCGCTTCCTCAACGAGCTCATCAAGGTGGTGTCGCCCAAGGTGGGTGCTCCCGACAAAGGAGATCCCAGATAGAGAGTGACTGCCCCTCCTCCCAGGGCCCCCCAGTGGGTACCACCTCAGCCCCCCATTACTTGGACCCCACACAAACAGAACCCAGCTGAGCCTGGGACAGCTTGGGGCTTCGAGGGGAGTGCTTCCAGGCTCCGCGGAGCCACTCGGGGCTTGGGGAGGGTGGTGCCAGCGATAAACATGGCTGGGGTCTGCTGGCCTCAGTGGCCGTTCTCCCAGTGCCCACCTCACTGTAGTGGCCTCCTTGGACCTCAGTAGCCAAGCCTCCACCCTGAGCCCCAGGCCCAAGCAGCCCTCCCTTCACCCTTCCTTGCTCAGACTCGGCCTTTGACCCCCTTATTCTCCCAGAAGGGACTCTGGTGTAAGCTGTGTCCCCCGCCCAGTGTGCTGCTGGGAGGCCGTGGGTGGGGTCCAGGGCCTCACCGTCCCACCCTAGCCCTCCTCCTTCCTGAGGACTCGAGGTTAAGCCCTCCATGGCCAGCCTGCAAGCAGGTGCCGTGCTGGGTCTCCTCCCCATGGTGCAGTGGCAGGTGGGGAGGCTGAGACACGCAGGGCGGACATAGCTGGAGGGGGCAGAGGTGGAGGTGAGCTCTGTCTATACCTGACCAGGTGGGTGGGCGTGAGGACCCTGCAGAGGGCTTCCACGGGGCACTAGGGAGACAGGCCGGCGGGACTGGGCTCAGGGGAAGTGAATGGGCCGGGCAGTGTCATCCTCTGCATCCTCCCCTCCATCCCTGAAGTACTTGGGCTCTCGGACGTCGGAGAAGGTGAAGAATAAGATCTTGGAGCTCCTCTACAGCTGGACCGTCGGCTTGCCCGAGGAGGTGAAGATCGCAGAGGCCTACCAGATGTTAAAGAAGCAGGGTGAGGCGCCGGAGTGTGGGTGGGAGCAGGGCCTGCCCTCCCCTCCCTCAGCTGCTGCTCCGGCAGCTTTGGGGGGTTCTGGGCCAGCAAGGTCACAGGTCTGCCCTTTTGTCATCGAAGACCATGTGGCCAGGGGGGGTTTTGTGACTGCCTAGGGCTAGCCCGGGTAGAAATAGGTGGGTTTGGTCCAGCTTTTACTCAGGGAGTGAGCCCCATGAAGTAGCCTCAAAATATGGGTGCCCTTCCCCCTTGCAGCGTAACATGGTAGGTCAGGAGTAGGCCCTGGCTCACCCACGTCTAGAGCCGGCGTGTGAGAAAGACTGACCCCTCCATCCTGTCTTTCCCGCCCCACCCCGTCTCCTCCCACCCCGTCCCCCTGGCCTGGGACTGGGACCTGCTGACAGCCTTCCCGACACCCGTCTACTCCAGGGATCGTCAAGTCCGACCCCAAGCTTCCAGAAGATGCCGCTTTTCCCCTCCCTCCCCCACGACCCAAGAATGTGATCTTCGAAGACGAAGAGAAATCCAAGGTGAGGCTCCGAGAGCGAGGGGACCCTGCTCCTCCTTCCAGGGGCTGTGAAGTCTGGCCCACGGCCACTCTGGCCTTAGGCTTGAGAGCAGAGGGTCCCACTGAGCCTGGCCACCGCACTGGGTGGCAGTGTTTCCTGAGCACTCGCCACACGCCGAACGCCTTCCGCACGGTGCCCTGCACTTACTGAACACGAGAGTGTGTGGGGTCCTGGGGTTGATTCGGGGCGCCTCACAGGTTGATCAGGAGTTTGCGTATGTCAGCTTATCAGGAAATTCAGGATGTGTTTTTGCATAGAAAAATAACGTCATGACTTTCTCTATGACCTAAATTTTGTCTTCAGCCCTTTTAGTAGTCATTTTGTTAGCTTTTACTAAGGGAGCGTGCACTCGTGGGTAAGAAATTAAATAGCACAGGAGGAGGTAAGGTAAACGCAGCCAGTTCTGTAGCAGTGGGTGAGAGAACCAGACCCCCCGTGGCTAGCTACGGGTCCCAGTGGCTTGGGGAAAAATAAACACCCTGAGCAAATCCTGAGGGGAGGAGGGGTGGAGGAAAGGGGCTTTTGGTGTGGCCAAGCCCTGCTGAGGGCGATTTCTCCCTCTGACTGACTTTCTGGTGGGCATGTGTGCTTCTGGTGATTAAAAAAAAAATGGGGTGAAAATAAAAGCTCCCCTCCCCAGTGGCAGCCCCTGAGGAATAGAACATGGCGAGCACTGTTTATTATAACTTACTTCCGGCCTGCACGGGAGCACCCGCTGTGTCTGAACTGTCCGGAGGGCCACCCCGTTACAGCTACTGAGTCACTTAGGTCCCATGGCCAGGGAAGTGGGAACCCAGCGTGCCCAGTCACACCCCTCCGTCTCCGCAGATGCTCGCTCGGCTGCTCAAGAGTTCCCACCCTGAGGACCTCCGCGCGGCCAACAAGCTCATCAAAGAGATGGTGCAGGAGGTGACGGCCGAGCCGGAGTGCATGGACGGTGGGGGCAGGGGCTTCTGGACCCTGCCACGTGGTGGGTGTGCACACATTACAGTGACCCAGCCTGAGGACTGCCGCAGCACAGGGAGCTGCCCGGTGCTCGGGGCCAGCACGTGAGGGAAGAATGTTCCAGCAGCAGCCTGAGCGGACCTGCCTGGATGGCCTCTGCAAGGCTGGCCCCTCTGGGGAATGTTAGAAACAGGCCGTAGGAGACTGTAAAGAGCACACGTGCGTGTCTGTGTGTATGCAGTCACGGGCTGCACCGTGACGTTTTGCTCAGTGACAGACTACTCTGTGACACTGGCCTTGTAGAGTATAACAGGCCGTACGGCAGAGCCCAGGTGCCGGCCGGCCACGCCATCTAGGTGGGAGAAAGCTCGCTCTCTGGTGTCCACACAGCGACGAGGTCGCTGAGCCGTGGGTTCCCCAGAACCGCTGTGGTCGAGCAACACCGACTGCGTAGAAAGAGAGCAGTCTGTGTTCAGCGTACAGGTGAACGTCCATTCATTGTGGGCACGTGAGACGATTTTTATTGACGAGGGTAACTTTAAAAGTGTGCAGGTCAGTGGTTAGAAGCCCAGCTTTCCAAGTCAGTGTTCCCAAGCTTGGGGTTGACAACGGGGAAATAAACTTGGGCCTCAGCAGTCCTTAGGGCAAAGGCCACAGAGCAGACCCCTGGGGCAGGAGGAGCCAGGCCTTACCCCTCGTCAGTGCCCACTCAGCTGCAGCCCAGTGTGGCTGGATTGTCGGGTACCTTCGTCTCTGAAGACGAGCCAGAAATCTGGATTGTTGCATGAAATCTCCCAATTCACTAATGACAGCAGCTGTTTCAAAGTTTTCTTTTTTTCTTAAGAATTATTTTATTTAACTTTATTTATTTTAATTTGACCAGAGAGGGACAGAATGAGAGAGAGAGAGGGAGAAAGCAAGCCGCCAGGTCCGGGACTAGAACCACAGTCGGCCATAACCACCTGCCAGCCCCAGAATTTGTTTTTAATGTGGGCTCAACACAGCCTGCCTGCTGGTCCTTCCTAAGAGCTGAGTCCAGGTGGCAGGCAGGTTGACCGGGGATAAGCTCAGGGCCTGGACTGACCTGAGGGCTTCTCTGAGGTCTCCTGCAGCTTGGAAGAGGTGTGTCTGGCACAGATGTAGAGATGTTTTCTGCTGGAGGCCCAAAGTTTGGGGTTCTTGAAGGGCCAAGCTGTGTATCTGACAATCAAGAGAAGTTAGGGCTGCCTCTTTCAGGGGCACAGCGGCTCCCCTTTGCACTGCCCAGGAGAGGGCCCCATTGTCGCCAGTAGACAAGGTGAGGGGTGGGAGTCCCTGCCCACAGCAGCCTGCAGAGGGCTTGGGCCCCGCGTTCCCCGACACTGGGAAGGGATTGTCCTTTGACTGAAGCGCAGGAACTCCTCTTCAAGGGACAAACCTAAGGAGAGCAAGAGTCACCTGGAGCCACGGGTGTAGCAGAGGGCCCTGGTCCTTCAGAAGCACCTGATGCAAGTGTTGGGAACCTCAGTTCCTGGGCTGACTTTGGAGGTTCTCGTGGCCTCTGCGGTGCTTGGACCCAGCAGGCACTGGCAGGAGGGACAGGAAGTGGCCAGAGGGCTGGCAGAGGGCTTCAGGACTATAATACCCTGCCTGGGCCATGGCGAGCCCCACCCAGGGTCTGCTCACACCCAGGACGCCTGCCCTCGCGTACGCCGTCCGTGCTGGTGTGGGACAGTGCCTCGCAGCTGGCCACCATGATGCAGGCTCTCGAGCGTTTGCCAATGCTCCCCCAGGACCAGAAGCGGATGGAGAAGATCTCGAAGCGGGTGAACGCCATCGAGGAGGTGAACAACAATGTCAAGCTGCTCACGGAGATGGTGATGAACCACAGCCAGGGCGGCGCGGCGGCGGGAAGCCACGGCGGCCCCAG